GGGGGGGGGGGGGGGGGGGAGAGAGAAAAACAATTCTTCAATATCATTACAATAGCATCATACCTATTAAACCATAAGCCTAGTATGTATAGGTTTTCCGAAAATTAGTCCTAAAATCAAGCCAAGAATAAACACTAATTCCAGGTCTTGCACATTAGCCTGAGTTAGTATGGAACTCCGTCCTGTTCATGGTGCAATCCCCATCAAACTGTAATAGAGATTTTTTATACGAAGAGGAATAATATAGATGGCCAAGTGGGGCATAATCTTGGGTCCCACACCATGGCATAGAAGTTTGTGGACCACAAGAATTCTCATTCAGTTGTTGCAGTGTCATGCATCTAGGACATTCATAATAAATTTTTGATATTCCGACAGTCATCCACCCAAAACAATAGTAACAATCTTATGGATGAGTTTTCCATTCATGGGCAATCCAATAAAGAAGAAAAGAATGCAAGTCAATGGATTGCTACACATACAAGATTGAACTCATAAGCAAAGAAGAGTAAGAATAAGATCATCATGAAACTAAACTTGTTTCTTAGGGGGCGTGTACAAGAAGATTGGGAGTAGATCCTTCAATTTCTATTCATGTTGCACGTTAAGAACCAAAGAGAATCACAAATTACCTTTGAAGCCAACATCAAAAATTTATCAGGTACTGGTGGAACAGATGGTTTTGCTCCAGCACAAAGAACTTTATTGTCTGATAACGACTTAAATGATACATCTCGAAAATCAATTATCTGCTTCAAATGAAGATTGTTTTAACTTAGTTCCTTGTTTCTTTTCCACATTACATAATATAACTCAAATAGTTTTATGAAGGAATGTGGGCAGATCTAGCTTACCACATCTGGGGTAATATAAGCACTTGGATCCCCAACTTCGTAAAGAAGCTGTTCTGCACAGGTGCTAAAATTTAAAACCCCACCACTGCCATTTGCCTTTGCCACACATACTTTCCCATCAGAAGTAACTTCAGCAAATGGGAGTGACAGATCCAGGAGATCTGATAAACATATGTCTCGATATTTGTCCCCTGCAGAGAGAAAAGTGTGCAAGTATTTAACTACTAACAAAAAGGTAGCCTATGAGAACCACTTACAAAACATGCAAAGTGTGTATTCCAAACTTTATGACTACCAGGCCACCCAATGTAAACTTACAAAGTGGTAGCCTATACGAACCACTAAAAAAACCTGCAAAATGTGTACTCCAATCATTATGATTACCACGCCACCCACTAGGAAATTAATAAAAAGGCTAGAACAAAATAACACCTGGATGCATAAAATATCCTCCTGTAAGTTGACAACCACACTCAAGCAGATGGCCAGCCAAAGAACCTTGTGCTAGAAGGTGGAACTCATCCCAATTCCAACCAAGTTCATAAACCTACACAAATCAAAATGAGTTCATTCAGATTGCCTTTCCAATGAAGAAGTATGGCAGTAGAATTAGCACAATTCACTTTTGTTAGATGGGGGCCTAACATAGTCTTTTAAGAAGATTGGAACAATTGTGGAATGAGTGACCACAAGCTCCGCTTAAGTTCTCACATAGCTTCTGGCATCTGGCTCCTTCACTCTGTCATCTGAGGTCCAAGTCACCAAACTAGGATCTCTAAATTTTCAGTTATTTACCTCATCTTGTCCAGAATTGAATCCCCCTCCCCCCCAAAAAAAAAAACATGTGGAACTTATAGATTCAGTCGAGGAAGTTCATGTTACTGAACCAACTCACCCCACTAAGCAAGTCAAACAACTTCATTTTATTGATGGAATATGTCAGCAAACATGAAAAGGGAGAAAGTATCTGTGGCAATTCTTTCTATCCAGCTTTGTCAGTACAAACATTTTCACCCAACTATAATAATGGGATTGAAGTTCCGGCTGTTGACTGGTTCAAAATTCTGAAACCAAACTTCAGCGCATGATCCGAAAAAAAATGAGAAACTTCATTGCATAATCAGATTTGCATCCATCATTCAATTATCAAATCATCAATACCAGTATCCTATAGTTAATTAGTTATATCCACTACCTATACACAAACAAGTGCCACTGTTTTCATGACCAAATATTGACTTACACCCCCTCAGAATAGAGTTAAAACCATAAGTACCCCTACAAAATTTAGTGTAAAATCCAAACGAAATACCACCGCCTCTTACAACCAATAAAAGAATATTAGCCACCTCATTTTGTCCCCTACAAAATTCTCTGGAGCTTCTGCCTCAATTACTGCACTCATAAATGTCACAGAACTGATTTACACCAATACCCCTCACAATTAAATTATACCATAAGTAGCCCTGAAATTTAAGCATGGGTATAACCAACAGAAAAACCTGCTGCTACAACCAATACGAGGGATCAATCAAATTTTGATTGGTTGGAGAGGCAGCACATTTGAATTATAATTTACTTACACATGAACAAGTTTTGCAACAGATCATCTATATGGTGCCCTTGATCCACCGAATCATTCTAATTTTTATTATAGTGGTAACACAAGAGATGCACTGACATTTTCTACAAAAGTAGAATCCTATGAATTACCACGTGCCAAACACATGGCAGAGACTAGTATTCATAAAAAAAAGCCACCAGACACCTGGTGGGTAAACATTGACTTAGAATCAGAAAGAAGCATGTTGATATGTACTAATTGAATCAGAAAGTTGTAGTTCTTACCATTGGAGCTAAGAATAATGAAGCATCTGCAACCCGAGAAGTAACAATAACATTGGGTTTGTACCGTTCCATACATTCAACAATTGGAGCAGCTCCCATATAAACACTAGTGCCCTGTGTAAATATAACAGAAAAATATCAGCCAATTTTTTATTTACAAGGGAAAAGTGGAGGATGGAAAAGGAATAACAGAAAGTAAATGCTTTAAGTATAAAGAAACAGGGAGGTTTTTAAATTCTCATCTACAGGTCTCCAACCCCTCCCAGAAGGGGCAAAATGATAGAAGCATACAAGCAGAGGAAGAATAATTGCAAGAGTAAGCAAGTCAATATGTGCCCACTTACGCAGGATGTCCATAGACCACAACAGATATTTGGCAAAAACAACATGACATGGCAACTTAAAGCATGAGTCCAGAAGTATAAATCAATGGAGACAACTCAAAACTAATACTGAGGAGGTACCAAATTCTTACACCGTCAGCATCTCTCAGGTGAGGATCCAAACCTGCAGATGCAACAAAAACAGAATGGACTGTGCTGTTAGTATTGAAGACATTCTCCTCATAATAGTATAAGAAAAAAAATGTACAGGGTGCACAAATAAAAAATATTTAAAAATATTAACGATAACAATAATGACATGGTGGAATCTAATACATCATTCTATGATAGGGGAACTCCTTCAAAATCCCCAACAGAAGTCAGACCATACCTGATCTTGTCAGAGCAAATTCCATAGCCACACCAACACTAATACTAATACCCAGTCTGCTTGCAACTCTTAAAACTTCTTTGCGAGCACCAAATGAATCATCTTCTCAGAAAAAGGATAGAAAATACAATACATTTAGACAAACAAAAGCAGAATCACAGAGGATACACTGATTAGAAGCACAAGTATTCAGTTTCTTACTCGCACCCAAGTTGGTAATTATGCAAACTCCTCTCTCCAAGGCCAAAGGTAATAGTAAATGCATCCACTCAGAAACTGTAAGTCATTGACAAGTATCAGAAAACTCTGTAAACAGCCAATGTAAGTTACCATACCAGACTCGTGCAATGCATAAAACAAAGCGGGAACCTGGTGCCTTGCAATTTAAGTTTCTATCCTTTACTCATGTTTGTCACCCATTTCAATAGCAAGAGCGAACAGAAACAGGATAGCAGAATAACAGCAGGAATCTACCATATTATCATATCCAATTACAAACAACAACATCATCTTCAGGAAGCCTGTACGCTATTTACTGTTCAATTGGGCCAGCACACATGAAAGCTCCTTGACCAGCAAACCTTTCCACAAGTCCTTGGATCTTCAAAATAGTTTTTTTTTTCTCATGAGTGTTGCTAAGTGCACTCCACATTATACAAAGATTTTTTGTTTCTTTGTCAGAGAGTGCATCCATTTTTCCTTGGTTAGTGCATAAACAATTTAGAGCTTAAAAACATCAACATAAACATTTAACCGAAGATCAAACAAAAAAAGGTGACCATAAATGAACAACAATTTGAAGAAATAATATCCAACCGAAACATAAACTTTAGAAACATACTACGAGGATCATAACCCGGTCCACCCGACGCTTTCGCGTGGAAGCGATCAGCAAGTGTGCGCTCGGCAAGGCATTCTAGTACCAAATAGTCTAACTCTTTGACTCTCTCCAGTAACTTGAGCGCCGCCAATGGCCGATCACCACTAAAACCAGCTCCACAACCGACATAAACCTTCTCCTTTCTTCTTGGAGGACTCTCCCTCTGCACTTCAACACACACAACACAGTGAAGAACTCACTCATTTTCATTGCTTTTCCTCTGTTACCAATCTCTAACAGAACAATTAACTAACCAGACATATCGAACAGCTGGGAATTACTGGTTCATCGATGACTAGGTCATCGCTTGATTCCTGAAAATTGAAAATTAACAAAGCAACAATTTTGATTTCGTCCGATTGAACGATTATGAGTACATCAATAATCAAATTTGAGAGATTAAATTGCTGAATAGGTGAGGATTAACAAATTAAAACAAAAAAAAGAGGAGCAAAATGCCAAAATCAGATGACCGAAACTTACATTTGAAGCTGATGATGAGATTGCGTCTTCTTCCATAGTGCTGACTCCGCTGGGCAGTGGATTGATTGAATTGAGTGTTGAGGAAAAAGAATGGAAGCAAACGGAACATATCTAATTTTCTGGACTTTGGACGAACGGCGATACTGGTTCATGAAGGGCTCAATTTATAAGGCCAGGAAAAGAGTGGGCCAAATCGGCCCAAAGATCGTGGCAGACTTGATGGGCTTTTAATGGACTGTCCATCGGGTCAGTTTTAAGGGAATTTTTTTTTGTTTTTTAGGTGTGAGTATAATTTTTTAAATTTATTTTAAAAAAAATTAATGGATAAGTTGTTTACTCTATTAAGTATAATTTTAATAGAATATCTTGTGTGTTAGATACAAAATTCAAATGAAATCAGAATTATTTTACCTAATTACCCTCTCTTAAATTATACCACAGTTATGTATTTGATCAAATATGTGAAAATTTTATTGGACAGTATCATTCTTTTGAATTTTGAACTGTATTTTTTGTATTCAGTCTGCCTTCAATCACTTCATTCAACGAGCAATCTTCAACGTCCGACCTTCGACATCTAGTCATCAACATGCAACCGTCAACCCCCAGCAATTAACGTCAACCTTCTACGTTTAGTTTTTTTATTTGATTTGTGATATAAATTATTTGATCTTCTTTGTTTATTTTTGTTTGCTTCCAAATTTTTTATCATCATCATCGACAACGCAGGTAAATTTTTAATAATTTTTTTTAACTGCCATTTTTTTTCCAACCAATCAATTTGATTTTGAAGCTAATGTATTTTTTTTTATTTTAACGTTATGTATTTTATCGACGTAACTCCTACGTTTTTTTGTATTTTTTTTGACGTGTAAGTATTTTTTTGTTTTTTTAAAGATTATCATGGATGAAACTGTTTTTATAGGATGGGCGAAACTATTTTTTTAGAAATATGTTTCCAGTTTTTTCTTTGCACCATAGTAGGATAAAACTGTATGTTTTACGTTTTGCCAAAAAAACATAGTAGCTCCTATGGCTTTTGGTATTTTTTTTTTTAGAATTATCATGGGTGAAACTATTTTTTTAGAATTATAATGGGTAAAACTGTTTTTTTAGAATTATCATGGGTGAAACTATTTTTTCTAGAAATATATTTTTTTCTGCTAGTTTTTTCTTTAGTTTCAATTGTATACGTAGTAGTATGATGAAATTGTGTGTTTTTATGTTGTGCAAACAAATAGAGCAGCATTTTATGTTTATAAAATATCTAAATAATGTTATTGTCTGATGATCTTTGGTGTAACTGTTTATATTAGAATATAGAATGTCATTTTTTTTTTATTGTCATTCTTAGTAATAGAGGAAATAGTGTTTTTTTGTGTCAATATGATGCTGAGAGGTTTGTTACCCGGTGGATGAAGTTGGGATTTTGCCGCCATCAACTAAAAAACAGTGTGACTAATCCAAAAAGTATAGAATAAGGTTAAAGGAAAATTTATTAGGCAAATTCAGTGTGGGCATTGTAAGCGGTTAGGGAGCCACAATAAAAAATTTTTTATAGAGCCTATGTGATTGGATTATTTTTTAAAATTAATAAAATTCTATTAACTTTTTTTTATTAATATTATGTTATTTTTTNGGGAAAACTTATTAGGCAAATTCAGTGTGGGCATTGTAAGCGGTTAGGGAGCCACAATAAAAAAATTTTTATATAGCCTATGTGATTGGATTACTTTTTAAAATTAATAAAATTCTATTAACTTTTTTTTATTAATATTATGTTATTTTTTGGTCATTTTTTTATTATTTTTTAGTCATTCTATGTGGACATATTACTGTGGACTTATAATTTAGGAAAACCACACCATAAGGTGTTTCTTTTTTCATAGTTGTAACGGTAAATTCTATTGTATATTAGTAAATCTTGCATAATGTCCCATTAATGCCAAAAGTCGATAAGACAAAGAGTTATACCAATTATTTATTTCACCATAATTTGATATCAATGCGACAACAAGCAAAAATTTATCTTGTGAAGGTTTTGTTTTCTTATTATCCAATCGGCGACCTTCAATGTTCGGAGAAAATATTTCGGCAACGGCAAACAATTACAGTTACCGGACAATAACCAAAACTCATCGGAGTCACTTTCTTTCCTTCCTTCCTTCCTTCCTTTTCGGTTAACAAAAAATGATTATATAGTCTCCAATATATTTGAAAATCAGAATCTTTTCGTCTACATTGTACCAAATCTCTGCAATATTTTTTATTTTTAAATTAAATTTGCCGAAGACCAAGGGACGTGATCTTTGCTTCCTGACTTTCCCCCTTTTTCCTCAATGGAGCCGAAGATAACGCTTGGGATCAAAATCGGTTTTGCACTATTTTCCTTTCAACTTAATGGCTTTTTGGTCATTATATACAAAAATGCACTTGACTTCAAATAGGTTTCCATGTTGTATTTTAGCCCAAAAAAATCCACCAGCTTCCGTTTTTCTCTTTTTTTTTTTTTAAGAACATAGAAATTTGGAAGAATCTCACCTTATACCCCTGAAAGATTTAAGTTTTTTCACTTTATACCCTCAAAGATAAATTTTTTTATATTATACTATCAATGTATTAAAAATATTCTAATGTGATTCTTCTATTATTGCTTATTTTGTCAGAATACACTCCACTAAAGTTGACAAAATGAGTAATAAAAACTAACGAAAGAGTTAAAANTTGGTCATTTTTTTATTATTTTTTAGTCATTCTATGTGGACATATTACAGTGGACTTATAATTTAGGAAAACCACACCATAAGGTGTTTCTTTTTTCATAGTTGTAACGGTAAATTCTATTGTATATTAGTAAATCTTGCATAATGTCCCATTAATGCCAAAAGTCGATAAGACAAAGAGTTATACCAATTAGTTATTTCACCATAATTTGATATCAATGCGACCTTCAATGTTCGGAGAAAATATTTCGGCAACGGCAAACAATTACAGTTACCGGACAATAACCAAAACTCATCGGAGTCACTTTCTTTCCTTCCTTCCTTCCTTCCTTTTCGGTTAACAAAAAATGATTATATAGTCTCCAATATATTTGAAAATCAGAATCTTTTCGTCTACATTGTACCAAATCTCTGCAATATTTTTTATTTTTAAATTAAATTTGCCGAAGACCAAGGGACGTGATCTATGCTTCCTGACTTTCCACCTTTTTCCTCAATGGAGCCGAAGATAACGCTTGGGATCAAAATCGGTTTTGCACTATTTTCCTTTCAACTTAATGGCTTTTTGGTCATTATATACAAAAATGCACTTGACTTCAAATAGGTTTCCATGTTGTATTTTAGCCCAAAAAAATCCACCAGCTTCCGTTTTTCTCTTTTTTTTTTTTAAGAACATAGAAATTTGGAAGAATCTCACCTTATACCCCTGAAAGATTTAAGTTTTTCCACTTTATACCCTCAAAGATAAATTTTTTTATATTATACTATCAATGTATTAAAAGTATTCTAATGTGATTCTTCTATTATTGCTTATTTTGTCAGAATACACTCCACTAAAGTTGACAAAATGAGTAATAAAAACTAACGAAAGAGTTAAAATATAATATTTTTAATATATTGAAGGTGCAATGTAAAAAATTTAAATTTCAATAGTACAAAGTGAGGATTCTTGAATCTTTGAAAATATAAAATACAATTCACCCAAATTTTTTTTGCCAAATTCTTCTTAGCAAAACAAAATATAGGTGATTAAAATCAATGCNGTTATTTCACCATAATTTGATATCAATGCGACAACAAGCAAAAATTTATCTTGTGAAGGTTTTGTTTTCTTATTATCCAATCGGCGACCTTCAATGTTCGGAGAAAATATTTCGGCAACGGCAAACAATTACAGTTACCGNTTTATTTCACCATAATTTGATATCAATGCGACCTTCAATGTTCGGAGAAAATATTTCGGCAACGGCAAACAATTACAGTTACCGGACAATAACCAAAACTCATCGNTAAGTTTAGTTTGAATAATTTGCCTATTATACGTATAACTGATTCGAGCTTTAAGTGTTCAAGCAAAATAAATTTTTTTATGTAAGTATAAAAAATTATTATCGGCACTCATTGTATTTGGTAAGTAACCAAGCATAGAGGCATTAACTTTGACACACCCCCTTTGACTGCATTCAAGACGCTGAATAGACATGTGGGGTCACATCTTAGACTCTTCTTCAATTTCATGTCATTGTACGGATGTACACGTGTCAGAATACCTATGAACCATGCAAACTCTTCCGTCTTCTATATATCAAACACGGTTCACTTTGTGAAACCCTAACAGCCCTAACCTGAGAGATTTCATACTTCAGATCACAGACAAATCACAAGGAAAAATATGGGTATTTATTGCTATGGCCTCTCTCTCTCTCTCTCTCTGTGCATGGTCTCTGTCAGCTCCATTAATGCCCTCCTCTCTNTCACTTTATACCCTCAAAGATAAATTTTTTTATATTATACTATCAATGTATTAAAAGTATTCTAATGTGATTCTTCTATTATTGCTTATTTTGTCAAAATACACTCCACTAAAGTTGACAAAATGAGTAATAAAAACTAACGAAAGAGTTAAAATATAATATTTTTAATATATTGAAGGTGCAATGTAAAAAATTTAAATTTCAATAGTACAAAGTGAGGATTCTTGAATCTTTGAAAATATAAAATACAATTCACCCAAATTTTTTTTGCCAAATTCTTCTTAGCAAAACAAAATATAGGNAAGTACAAAGTGAAGATTCTTGAATCTTTGAGAATATAAAATACAATTCACCCAAATTTTTTTTGCCAAATTCTTCTTAGCAAAACAAAATATAGGTGATTAAAATCAATGCATCTCGTCGATTTTCATTAATAATCTAATGGATGCTATCATGTGACATCATTTGATAAATAAGATTTGGTAAAATTTTGGTTTTTTCTAAATTATTCTTTTTTTTATGCATTTTAAACTAGAAGTGATCACCCTCCCTAATTCTTTTACTTTTTTTTTTCATCCAATCATTCGAGATATTTGGTAATAAATAATTTTTTAGAAAAACTTTAAATGGATAATAGTTAATTGATAAGGTGGAAAGAAAGAAAAAAGTCTTTTTTTTTTCCCAAAATTTTATCATGAGGAGATCGGTCACCTTTGTCGAACTACTTCATCTGTGTTAAAAAAAAAATGGCTTATTAAAAAAAGTGATTCAAGTTGATGAGAGTGACTTCTTCCTTCTCCAAGAGTGAAGTGAAGTGAAGTAAAATTGATGGTCAATAGAGCGGTTGTGACTAATTTGAACAAAAAATTATTCAATTTTTAAATATTTTTTTATCCGACATCATCATACTTATATGCTCCCACCTTTTAAACATATGAGATAATGTGATTGAATACAAACCCGTATTGAAGTTAGATAAAGAAAAAACTATGAGGAAAAAAAAAAGAGGTGGGGAGTAAAATCTTTATGTAGTCCTCTGTGAGAGAGAGAGAGAGAGAG